ATCCATCCATCCATCCATCCATCCATCCATCCATCCATCCATCCATCTATCTATCTATCTATCTATCTATCTATCTATCTATCTATCTATCTATCTATCATCTATGTAAACAACATAGACATGAAGTCATTGGGAGTTGAGCTTAACTTTGTCATTTTGATGCTTTATTTTACTCCAAATATATTTTGAGGGTGATTTGAGTGGGTTTATAATGCACTGAAAGCTCTTGGATAAGTATGCCCTGTGCCAGGTACCTTTTTAAAAAAACTTTTTACTGTCTACTCTTTCCAAAATCAATTTCCCCCATCTAAACTATTTGACAACATCCTGCTCTGCACATTTGCATGTAATATATAGCTTGAACCCAATCCCAACACTCCGCTTGATGTTGCATACTGGGTGACAATAGTCCAGTGATGTCAACATGGCCACCCTTTAAACCCTTTTACCTCACTTTTATTGGCAAGCATCTCACCATCTTTGCCCACGATGCATCAAGTCCCTTATCTGGGCATATTTTCCACCCACCGTTATCTCTAAGATTACCTCCTGGAACTTCGTATTTGTGATTCTCATTTGCATACCCATCGGGAGGCCAAACCTTACCCTCCAAGGAGTAACTCAAACACCAGTGGTACATGAGGGCAATTTACCGAGGTGCATCGCAGAACTGTAAACTGGAGAGCGCCTTGCGATTCCCTGTTAAGACAATATAATAAAACAACACAAGTTTGAATACACAGGATGGGAAACAAGGAGAACACCCCCCCTCCCCCCCCCCCCCACTAAATGGCTTTATCTGAAGACATTACTATAAAAATCAAAAACACTGCATCATTTTCAACAAAGGTAATGCTCGACTTACAGCAGTTCATTTAGTGACTGTTTGAAGTTACAATGGCACTGAAAAAAGTGACTTATGACTGTTCTTCATACTTATGACTGTTGCAGCATCCCTATTGTCACATGATCAAAATTCAGACGCTTGGCAACTGGTTCATATTTACGATGGTTGCAGTGCCCTGGGGTCACGTGATTACCTTTTGCAACCTTCTGACGAGAAAAGCCAATGGGCGAGCCCACTTAACAATCATGTTATTAATATAACAATTGCTGTTATTCACAAAAAAGGTCCTAAAACGGGGCAAAACACAATTAACAACAGTCTCACTTAGCAAAAGAAATGTTGGGTTCAATTCTGGTCATAAGTTGAGGATTATGTGTTCCTCTAAAGGCAGGTGATTTCCAACTCTGCCTTCCCCCCCCCAGATTCCCTCAGTTCCATCCCTATTTAGCCTGGAAGTAGCTATCAATCTCAGTTAGAGAAAATATCTTGCCACCTCCTTCTTTCTCTATACTCTCTGGATTCAGCAGCTGTTGTACATGCTCATAGTTTTGGATTAATCATTTGATGCCCACATATACAGTCTTTCAAATTACATCACTTTCCTTTTAATAACACTTTAAAAGTTCCTCCAGGAATACTTTGGGCCAATACCTTCCTAATCTTGCCTAAACTAAATTTGCCTAAATTAATTGATCTGATCTTACATTGCTCTATTCACATGCCCAAACCATGCCCTATTCTCATTGCTCTGGTCACATGATACTCCTTAGATTGCTATAATGTCTTCCTGTTCATTCCATAATTTAGTACAGGTTGTTTGCTCTAAATTTCAGTGTCCTTCGCAAATCGACCAGCCAGTTCTTCTCTTTCCAACAACCAAATAAGCTCCAGCTTATGAACTTTAGTTTTTTAATGCCACCATCCAAGGTTCTTCTACTCTTTTAAACAGCTTCATCCTTCCTTCCTTCCTCTCCCTTACTTGGAACAGCCTCCAAGAATACAGTACTTGCTACCCTAGATGCCCCTACATGTGCTACAAATGGCTTCTCAAAATGCATGCTTTCAGTGAAGAATTTGGTACTAATAGCCTTCCTAATTTATTATAACTGAGCCTGTAACTAATTCCCATGCAGCTTCAGCAACTTTGTTAGTGCTTCCTAATTTTCACCATTTTGATTTCTGTTATCTCACCTGGGCCAAAGCTGAGACTGCAAACAGTCTCAAAGCAGTGTGGGACACCTGCCTTGTTATTCTCTCCAGTGCTACGCATCGCGATGATATGCTACATAAACAAATACACACATTACTGCCAAACACCACGAAGAAAAATGGATGTTCCTGTTTTCATACTACAATTCTCTGTATTTAAAGACAAGCCAGGATCAAAGAACTGTTAAATTATTTCACTTAGGTCAGAATGCTTTAAACCAGGGGTCCCCAACCACCGGTCCGCGGAACAACTCCTACTGGGCCGCTGGCTTGCTGGGCGCCGCCATCTTTTTTTGATGAAAAAGTGCTTCCGGTGAGCTTTTCCGGGTAGAAAGCTCACCGGAAGCACGTTTTCATCAAAAAAAGATGGCGGCGCCCAGCTGATGCCGGTACCGGGCCACGGCGCCCAGCTGATGCCGGTACCGGGCCGTGGCGTCAAAAAGGTTGGGGATCACTGCTTTAAACGTGTTTCTCTTGAATAGCATTACTTCCTGTGAAACTGTTATCCCTGCAAGGTAGTTCAAGCAGGAGCACTGGCTATATCTTTGTTGTAAGATTATATTAACATGTTTTTGCAAGGCTAAAAAGTATTTCTCCCCTCTTTTCTCTTTACTCTCCAGAAAATCAGGGAGGGTCCCTTCTGAAACACTTCCCATGCCCTCCCTCCTTCGGTGGGCTGAAATACCTTCAGCAGGCTATCTCCCACCTCTGCCTCCTGTCTCTCAATGTTATTGCCGCATATCATTACAGGTAGTCCTCAACTTACAAAAGTTCACTTAGTGACCATTCAAAAGTTACAGTGGCACTGAAAAAAGTGACTTACAACTGTTTTTCACAGTTACGACCTTTAAAGCAGGGGTCACCAACCTTAGCAACTTTAAGACTAGCGGACTTCAACTGCCAGAGTTCCTCAGCCAGCTTTGCTGAGGAACTCTGGGAGTTGAAGTCCGCTAGTCTTAAAGTTGCCAAGGTTGGAGACCCCTGCTTTAAAGCATCCCCATAATCATGGGGTCAAACTTCAGGTGCTTGGCAACTGGCTCATATTGATGACAGTTTCAGGGTCCCAAGGTCACGGGATCCCCTTTTGCAATCTTCTGACAAGCTGAGTCAACACGAAAGCCAGGTTCGTGTAACAGCCAGGGTTACTAACTTAACATCTGCAGTTTTTCACTGAACAACTGTGGCTACCTCGTAAAGTGAGCAAAACTCATTTAACAAACGTCTCACTTAACAACAGAAATTTGGGGCTCAACTATGGCCGTAAGTCAAGGACGACCTATACCAAAATACCTCAAGTGCTTTTGAGTATAGCATAGCAGCTTCAAAATAGGGTATGGTTTTCCGGGGTGCTCAGCTGAAGAGAGGAGAGAAAGCGAAGCTCTGGCAAGCTAACATGGCATGAAAGTCAGCCGCTGATGTGAAGTTTAGCCATCCCCACCCTTTGCCCCGGGGGAGACTCCTCATACTGCACCTTAAAAGAGCAGCTGCTTGTTCGCTGGTAAGGTCTTCCGTTGCGTCATTGTTTATTGCAAGGATGCGATCCCCTGGCAGAAGCTTCCCATCAGCAGTGCTGCCTGCAAAACATCAGCCTTGTTCAGGGAGATACTTGGCATTTCCTATTTACAACGTCGCCCCAAAACAAACAAATGCATGTGTGCTCGTATGAGAGTGTGCATGTAAAGAAACTGAAGCCATGTAAGATGACCTGGCATTGCTTGCCTACAATTTGGAAATCTGAATCCAAATTATTGAAAGGTTCTTAATGGGCACCCTTCAACGAGCCCACACTGCCCTTGTCAGCAGCACTTCCTTTCTAGCAGAACTAATGGCAGGAAGGACAGTCTCCTTCTCAACGTAACCTGCCACAACATTCTGTTCTTCCAAATGCTGTTTTGTTCTCCACTCCTGACTGATGCAAGGCACTCAGGGGCTGGCAATACTGGCATCTGCTTAGATTGACATCCCAGCAAGATCTGACTACCAGCTTCCCTCTGGCAGGCTGAAAGGAACAGTGGTTAGAGTGCAGTACTGCAGGCTACTTCTGCTGACTGCTGACTGCCAGCAGTTTGGCAATTCGATTCTCACCAGGCTCAAGGTTGACTCAGTCTTCCATCCTTCTGAGGTTGGTAAAACGAGGACCCAGATTGTTGCGGGCAATAATATGCTGACTCTTAGAGAGGGTTGTTAAGCACTATGAAGCGGTATATAAATCTAAATGCTATTGCTATTGTGCCCAATTCTCTATTCTTTCAAAAATTCCAGAGCCTGGACTCATCCAGTTTTCTCTATCTGACTATGTATATTAGCTTGGGATCAAGACAATGTCAGAGATCAGCATATTTTTAAGGCATCTTTCTTTTCAAAACCACAGCTTTTTATTTCTCCAGACAATTTTCAACATCAGGAAAATGTGAGAAGGGAAAACTGTTTTCTACCTGCAGCAACTGATGTGATCAAGAGGGGGAACTTATGAGAAACTTCAATGCCATAATGTCCATGTAGCACATCTTTTTGAACATCCACTGTGAGTTTGACATGACTTGCAGGTTGCCTACTGCCATCGGATGATCTATCACTCACTGATGCTCTCCCTCTGCAAATTTAGGGTGGAAAAAAAAGCCAGTTTAAAAAAAAAAGATCCAGTGCTTCCAATTTCCTGAAATCTCAGCTTTTGCTTTGGAGATATTTTTACATCAGTGCATACCTAATGAGGAAAACAAACATAAGCCAGTAAACAAGAAAGATGCTCTGATATATATTGTGGCTGGAGTGTTTATTGTCAAATGTATGAAGTGGAAAGTAACAATCTGATAAATATTTTAAATAGTACTGGGCAGATCCAGAAAAGATACCCATAAAGCTGAAAAGTAATACTGATGATCAATCTATATATAGAGAGAACTTGACTAATATGTGTGGGTTGGCCTCAGTTAATCCTTTTTTTTTTTTTTGTCATTTCTGTTTCTCCATTACTCTGTTATTACTCTATTTCCTTTTTCTGTTTTGAATGTTTGTTATATTATATATTACTGCATCCCATTTCTATTTCATTGTTTTCATGTTTCTGCAAATTGTAAGGCAGCAAGAATGGCTAGGTGAATTGGGCAGCCCTATGGATTTAATGAATAAATAAATGTTAGCATGCACATTTAAACATGAAGGCTATATCTGGATCTTACAATTTAGCCGGATATCCATATATTCAGCAAAGAGGCTATGCATGGACAGTTCTTACTACATGAGGTCACTTGATATGAGTGGAATAGTAACACAATGGAGTTCCTAATGAAGTGGAAAATCCATGTGGACATGAAGTGAACATGAATAGGCTTGATGTTATGTACCAGTGCTGAAATGTTGACTGCTTTGAAGATAACAATTCCACAGTTTGGAACAACTCTGTAAAAATTTGAGCTTCATCTATCTCAGTCCAAAAAGAATTACAGTAAATATTGTATAGAAATAAACCAAGCTTAAGATACCATTTACAGTGATAGATAGTATCTCGTAAGTCCAAATTAAACCAGGATGGAAGCATTGCTGCCTTCATGATATCTATCACAGAAAAGCCACAAATTTCCAAAGTCATACAAAAAAAGCAAAGGGTTCATATTGGCCATCAGAAAATTGACAACATCTATATTAAGGCAAAATTAAGGCATTTTATTTTTAACAGATTTGTTCTGCAGTGCAACAAACAGGTAAATATTTATTAGTGATTTTCTTTCAATGATACTTTCGATGATATTTCCTGAGTGCCATGATGTTCAAAGTTTGAAATGACATTTGAGTATTTAGTGTTTCAGCAAGCATGATGAAGTAACCTTTCTAATCCTGAGAAAGTTGGTCTTGAGTTCCTTGGAAATTACTGAGGATTTTTCATTAAAAAAGAGGGATAATTCTGCATCTGTTTCCCTCTAGCATACCTTGCCTACCGATTACAGCAACCTAAAGTCATTCCCTGCAATGCGCATCTGGCAAAAAAAATAATAATTACAGGAGGTTCATTCCAGACCACAGGATGATAATTCACTCTCACAGGTAGCCAGAGGTGGTAAGCCTAAATCCAAGCTTTTTTCCCCTGTGCTAAAGTTTTGTTCCGCAATAAATTGTCTCAAAAAATATTGGTGAGACTTGATAAAAAGTAACCTATTTTGTGCTATTGTGCCCAAAGTGGAGATGGAGGTCACAACCATGCAACAAATGTTTCTTTTAATATGTATTGTGATGTATGGGTAAGTTGTCAAATGTGTGGTGTATGATATATGTATTAGTTTTTTCTGCAGAGAGAATATCATCCTGCTACCTGACTTTCCCATACTTGCTAAAGGCTGAAAGGGCAGGCAGATATTAACAAAAGCCACAAGAATGGCAATGGGGTCATTTTGTTTTACTAAAACCCAAATTTGCAACCCTCCAACATCTGGAGAAGCTAACAAAGGTAAGAATGATACCCAGAGACTCATGACTGGGTTCTGAATAGAAATTTGGTCTGGGAAGCAAATCTCGATGGGAGAATCTGGCAATTTTCACACTACTTTCAAATAGACCTTTGTAAACAATATATATATATAAAACCCAGCAACAGCAAGAATAAGCTACCAGTGACCTGCAAGCTTTTCCCTCCTCCTTGCCTTCTCTCCTCTCAAAATTGCCCTTTCAGTTGTTTGATAATGGCAGTATTTCCCACCAACGTTCAGTGGGAAATCAAATCAAAGAGGCATGTTAAGCCTCCACAAATTCTGGACATTGTTAGCTTAAAAAAAAAGTGGGAAATGCAGTTCAATTTCCATCTTGTGCCCTCTGGTGATGCAGTTACTTCATTGCCCTGCTCTTTTCGGCTCCTGGTGCCAGAAAATAATTTTTTTAAAAATTACAAGGTAGCTGCAAAATGGGGGTCAGGAACTCTCACTCCCTGATGTTAGCTCAATAAATCCACCATAATAGTTGGTTAGCAAGGATGCCAATCATCCTAACTCTAAATTTCTTCCTCCCCTCCAGCTTAAACTTATATATGGTTTTTCTTTTGCAGACTACTGTGAAACAACGTTACAAATAACTTTCATTTCTGCTTTATTTTTCTCTTTTGGCTTTAATTATTTTAATACTGGTATCCCACCCTACATTTATAGCTAAGGCTTTGCCCTGGCACTAGAAACTAATGCCAACATTGATATGTTTTCTCTGCACCTGAGATGGCACTGTGAGCATACTGATATGTTACAACCGTTGCAGTTTTGGAACTACCTTCAGGAGTAATCATATACAGAGTACATACTAAAGTCCAAAAGTTTGCTATGGTATTTTACTTGTCCTAGGAGAGAGAAGGATCAACTTAAGCAACATAAGTCTTCCTCACTGCAAAACAGCTTTGGGTGGCAAGACCAGATGTAAGCAAAATGTAAGCTACTGAACAGCATCTCACACCCAATGAAAACACTTTACTGTTCCATCTAATAATATTACATTAAAATACATACCTGGCTGAATTATCTCGTGATCGACGCAGCCATTTTGCTACCATCTGCTCTATCCTGTGTGCTTTGCGTGTTTCTAGATCTTCCATTTACCTATGGCAGAGAAAAAACAAGTTATGTATTTATTTACTAAATTTATTGAGTTATTCACAGCCGACTCCCAGCAAATATTTTCCTCCTCCTCTTCCTCTTCCAAGGAGCCCTCCAATTTATATGGCTGGATTAGAGTCTCTTCAAATACTCATGTTTAAATTACTTAGAAAAGCACATCCAAAATGCTATTAAGGAACATACAGTAATTTATTAGACGTAACAGTATAATAACAGAGTCATATAGAAAAAAGTCCTCTTGAGTTAATATTTTCAGATAACTTTGCAGTCTAAATATGTATGTTTTTCTTAAAGCAAAACAGTGGGTAAAATTTCTATTTATTAAAAAATATTTGTATTAATTTCATGAAATGTGTCTTTTCATCAACACAACTGAGATCTCTTACACTGTATGATTCTTTATAATTAGTTTAGATATGATAGATTTAGATAGATTTGAAGCAGATAAGAAACTTCAAATTGTGTTTAAAGTGTTTAAAATATGGGTATAAGAGAAGAACTGGGGCAAAGGAAGGGGAACAAATATTTTTTCTAAGAAATATCTCAGCTTAAAGAACCATTATATTTATAAAATATGGGAACTGAACTGCAGTCTTCACATCAACATCCCCATATCTGGTACCATCTAGATGTGTTGAACTTCAACTTTCATAAATTTTCAGCCGGCATGACATCTGCACAAAATCGACTGAAAAGTCACTATCACACAAGGAGGACCCTTCATTGGAGAAAATTCATGGATTTATGAATGACACTGAAATATAATTTTATCATATTTTATCTCCATCTTAAATGATTGTATTTTATTCCATTTTCATCTTAGACTGTATTTTATTCCAATTTAATTTTAAATTGTATTTTATCCAATTCCATTTTAAATTACTTTTATCAAATTTCAGCCATGATTCGTTTCTGGAACTCTGCACTTTGATATGGCCCAAGGGCTAATCAATCAATCAATAAAATTGATTTATGAAAAACATGGAAGCCACTTGAAATTGGGTCTAGCTATATGTTTTTTAATTCAATCTTACTGATTCAGACTAGCAAAATGTCTTCAGAGTCTCGGGCAGAAAATGTGTTTTTCAGCCCAACTTTTGATTTGATCCTCTAGGAACTGAACACCCACAGAAGCATGTGCTTTGCTTGGTGTTCCATAATTCCCTTGGCAGGAGCAATGCTTCTGAAAAAAACTTTCTGGGATTATTATACAGTCTTTCTCTCAAGCTGTTCTGACCCAACCTGGTTCCAAGAGAGCAAACACAAGACAAAGGCAGCAGCCCCCACCTTTTAAGGTTTAATCCACAAATTCTGCTAAAAGGCTGCTTCCAACTAATTAGCTCCGACAAGAAAGAACCTTGCCAAGTTGTTTGTCAAGGCTGCCAAAAACCTAGAGATAAGAACTAGTTTACAAGAGTTTTCAAATACTAACTATGATGTCCACAAGGCTGAGTTTCAGAGCGTCTTTGCTTTCTGCAAAGAACGCTTCTTCAAACCTGGCTTTTATCCTCTTGAGGGAGGGGCCATTACCTTGCAGCCTTACTTCCGAGTCACCTGTGCTGCTGCAACTGCTCTCTCCTACAATCAATCCTGCATGCACGTGCACTTGGCAAAGGCTCCTCGGGAACCTCCTCATCGCTGCTGCCAGCCCCCACAATCTCTGAAGGCAGCAGTCCACTCCCTAATGGTCCTGGCCCCTCATCTGAGTCCTCGCTCTCCTCCACCGTCCGCACCTGCTGCCAGCTAACCACAACACAAGCACACTACCTGTATATTAATATTTATCAGCTAGATCTCACTTCAGTGCAATGTCATTGCCTGATCTTAGGGACTAAACAGATGGCATTCACTTGTAGTTTTGTTAAACCCCTGTACAAATAGGCAGGAACATCCTGGAGTCAACTACTTCCTATTACTCAGAAATTCTTTTTAGTACAACACTAATTAATACGAAGTGCATTGGATTGCATAAACTTCCTTCTGTTTGTCCCTTCCTTACAGGAATCTTTAAAAGTGAGATAATGCATTTATAGAGAGCCTGCTTGGCCTAGTGGCTGAGGTGCTGGACTAGCAGTAGGGACATCTATGTTTAACAGATTTAACATATTAGCAGAGTTGGAAGGGGCCTTATAGGTCATCTAGTCCAACCCCCCGCCAAGCAGGACACCCAGCACCTTTTCTGTTCTTCTCTTAGCTTGTTGTATGACTTTGGATCTCAGCCAATGAAGAAGGCAATTGTAAGCCACTTCCAAAAAATACAGCATTTGCCAAGAAAATGCCAGGGACTTATCTATTAGTCATTGGGAGCTGACACTTATTCTTTCATCTCCAATATGTATCACTATATAATAGATGCATAAGTACAAATATTACTGATGAGATAGATGGGAATGTTCACTGCTTAATTGAACATTTCAGGTTAAAGACAGTACAGGTCCTTTAAACTCATTATCTTTTCTATGCTATTTTCAGGTTCATTTGTTTAATGTTGTTTAAACAAACAAACAACAATTACTACTTAGTACATCTACAGAAAGCCACTCTGGTGTTGTAGGTAAGGAATCAGGATAGAAACCAGGAGACTGTAAGTTCTAGTACTGCCATGGTCACAAAGCCAACCTTGGGTTAGTCATCTTCTCTCAGCCATAGGAAGTAGGCAATGGCAAGACACTTTGGAAAAAATATATTATATTATTGGGAGAAATGGACACTAAGTGCCATAACGCAATCCTTAGTAGTGAAGTGCAGTACCTTGCAACCATGCAATAAGCCAGAAAACATCAGCAATGTCAGGCAATAGCAAAGAAACACACACACACACACACACAAATCTTTGAAGAGCCATGTTGGTATAGTGGTTAAGGCACCAGGGTAGAAACTAGGAGACCACGACTTCTATCTGTTCCTAAAATTTCTATCTTGTGGGTTGAGGATAAATTTGCACCTAATCAATAATTTCTACATTATACATATTGAAAATGCAAAAGCCACAACTCTTCTACCCATTTCAATTCACATTTATGGAGGAAGGTAGCCTTCTAAGCACTTTGAAATTCCATCAGTCCCCCAAATTGTAATGAATACACTAGAAAGAATACCAATCCAGAAGGTTTACCGCAATGAAGGCACCATTTTCAATAGAGATTAGGCATTTTATGGAACCAGCCTATGTTTTCCATTGAAATAATAAAAAGCACAACTGTTCTAAATCAACATTGCATCAGACTGTTAAAAGCTGCTGTATAATAGCATCCTTTGACAATAATTCTTCTAAGAATACTTTGATCCTGTCTAGGAGTCTCAACCCTTGGATTTTAGGCTTCAAATCTCAGATCTGTCATGGCATCACATCTGAAATCAAAACCCAGACATAAGCTGTTCCTTCTCTATCTGGAAGAAGATGGTCTTCTGAGTTAGCCATATATGCTACAACCCAGCCCTTTTAAGTTCCCATCAAGTTCATTTGTAGCTCTAAGAAAAGAGTTTTAAAAGTACTAATTCGATATTTGTACAGAACTTTTTGCAAAGAACAGGAACATAGTGGCAAATGATTGTGGGACAAAATGTTCTCTTTCTCCATAAATATTATATACACCAAATCTTTTTTCAGGAAGGTACTCTCTTTCTGGGATGCTTTGCAAAAGAGAACAAATGTAGGGTCAATGCAGATCTCTCTCTGTTTCTTGTCTCCCTCTCTCCCCCTCCCCTCATGTCCCAATCCAGGACATAATGGAATGGAAAGCAACCCAATTGTTGCTTTGGAAACTCTAATTAGAAAAGTTGTTGGAATAGAGGATAGTTTAAAAATGCTAGTCATGACCTTGCCAAAAAAACAGCTGTCATTAAGCAAGCAGAAAAGACAACATTCAAGTCTGATTCACAGAGCTAAGTTCGTCAAGATATTATTTTTCTAAAAACGCCTTGAAACACATGGGTGTTTAACCAAATTTTCACTCAACAAGTCATTACAAATCAAGGTGGATGCCTGATCCAGACTGACTCCGCTGACGGAATAGTGGAAATGCCTCTGAGACAATCTCTATTCGCTAGGTGTTCGACAGACATGTGAAACTACAGCTCCCGTAATTCTCCTGCCAGTGCTCCCTGCTTTAGATCACATTTCTAATAACTAATATTATTGAATAGCAATCCTGGTCTTGGTCCTATCACCATTTGGAACAAGAATAGTAGGCATGATGGACAGGGTCTTTTGATGAAGTACATTGGTATACATGGGGGGTCTTTTTGAAGCATGCCCTTCCAATGGAATTATTGAAAAAATACCCATCCAAATAAGATTACTGAGATAAATTAAATTCTACAATAGAGATCATGTATTTTATGGAACAGATTAGCTTCTATCCATTATCGTACAGTCAAATGAAGTATACATCATTTGTAAGGTGTTTTTTTTTTTAAATGACAATTCAGTTGAGTTATGCATTGCCACTCTGGTGTTTTAACGACTCAGCTAAGATTTTAGCAATTAACTCTGACTCCCCTGTAGAATATTGTTTTATTTCATCAGTAAAATGTATTTGTTTACAATGAAAGTTCATCAGACCAATAAGGGCCCATTTAGAAGGGAAAGAGAAACACGATGAAGGTATAAATAATATGGACATAACCATTAGTATGACTATAATTACTGAAACCAAGGATACTGTTGCTGAGCACAGGACTCTCATGAAATATCCCCCAAGGCATTTTATACTGAATGGAAATTCAGGACATGGAGCAACCATATCAACGTTCTTATTCCTAAGTTTCTCAGTGACTGCAGAAAATCAAACCACGAGGCAATGGAACCACTGTGCAAATCAAAGCCGAAAAATCCAGCAGCCACAATTGATTTAGGCAGGGGACTTGCACTAAACCCTTTCTTGGTCATTCCTACCCTGGTGTTGTAATCCTAATGGATGGGAAAGAAAACCAGGCTGAACTTGTCATGGATGACAATGAAACCAGAGTGCCTGTTGGGT